CCTTTCCACCAGTCCTTTCTTTAGCCGCAGACACGGGTGTATTCCCAATTGGGTGACACTGTTTGAAGAGTTTATTCTTACCTGAAGAGATAAAATTCTCTGTTTCCATACCTTGGCTATTAAAAATAATGCTACAATAAACACAGAGGTGCATGTATCTTTTAAAATTAGTGTTTTTGTTTCCTTTGACTAACAACCTACTAGTGGAATTGCTGGATCATATGGTAGTTCTATTTTGAACTTTTTAAGGAAGCTCCATATTGTTTTCCATAGTGGCTGCACCAATTTATATTCCCACCAACAGTGCAAGAGGGTTCCCTTTTCTCCACCTAGGGTCCCCTAACCAACACTTGTTATTTCTTGTCTTTTTGATAATAACCATTTTAACTGGTGTGAGGTAATATCTCATTGTGGTTTTGATTTGCATTTTCCTGATGATTAATGATGTTGAGCACCTTTTTATGCACCTGTTGGCCATCTGTACGTCGTCTTTGGAGAAATGTCGATTTAGTTTTCTGCTCATTTTAAAATTGTATGTAAAGAACTCATATAACTCAATAAGTTCTTATATATTTTGAGTTATATGAGTTCTTTATATATTTTGGATATTAACACCATATTGGAATTATGATTTGCAAATATTTTACCCATTCCATAGGTTGCCTTTTCACTTTGTTGATGGTCTCCTTCACTGTGCAGGAGCTTTTTAGTTTGATGTAGTGCCATTTGTTTATTTTTTCTTTTGTTACCTTTGGTTTTAGAGTCAGATCCAAAAAAATCATCTCCAAGACTGATGTCAAAGACCTTATTGTCTATGTTTTCTTCTAGAAGTTTTATGGTTTCAGGTCTTACATTCAAGTTTTCAATTAATTTTGAGTTAATTTTTGTGTACAGTATAAGATAGTAGCCTAGCTTCATTCTTTTGCATGTAGCTTTCCAGTTTTCCCAACACTGTTTATTGAAGAGACTGTCCTTTCCCCATTGTATATTCTTGCCTTCTTTGTCATAAATTAACTATATACTTGTGGGTTTATTTTTGTGATCTCTATTCTGTTCCATTGATCTATGTGTCTGTTTTGATACTAATATAATACTGTTTTGATTACTATGGCTTTGTAATATAGTTTGAAATCAAGGAGTGTGATGTACCTGGCTTTGTTTTACATTCTCTAAATTGCTTTGGCTATGCAGGGTCTTTTGTGGCTCCATACAAATTTTAGGATTATTTGTTCTATTTCTGTGAAAAACTAACATTGGAATTTTGATAAGAAATTCACTGAATCTGTAGATTTCTTTGGGTAGTATGGACATTTTAACAATATTAATTCTTCCAATCAGATAGTGACATTTTAGAGGAGCTCTGTTCCCTGGAGCCTTCCGAATGGGTATTTCATTTGGTGGCCAGCTGCTTCATTTTGAGTGCTGAAGGTCTGCTTTCCACCCTGAACTATTGAGTAATGGGTATTTATTGATTGACTGACAACAGCCCCATCTCATGATGGCAAAGCAAGTTGGTACATGTTCAGCCACACAAACCTCAGATGAAGCTTCTGGCAGGAAAAGCTCTCACAGTTGGGAATTTAAACTGATTAGCTTTGTGCTGTTTGAGGGGGGAAGGAGGTGGCCTTGACATTAAGCTTCAAAACTTTAGAAGTTTGGTCATTCCATACATTTCTGTTTGCTTTTCCCCTTTGCTCCCCTAAGATTTTTTAAAAAATCACCTGAGGCATTTAGGGCAACAGGTCTCAGTTTATATTCTCCGCTCTCTTGTAACTACTATCTCTTCTTCCTCACTAACCAGGTCTCTGATCTAGACATGCAGTAAACATCCCACCACTCTCCTTTCTTTCCATCAAACCCAGTTCACAATTTTGCCTTACTGTTCCACTAAAGCCAGCCCACTTTTTTTGTTAATCCTAACCCAAGGATTTTCCGTTGATTTTCAGAGAGAGTGGAAGGGAGGGAGAAAGAGATGTCGATTGGTTGCCTCCTGCACACACCCTGGCCCGGGCCAGGGACCAAACCTGCAACCGAGGTACCTGCCCTTGACCAGGAATCAAACCTGCCACCCTTCAGTGCATGGGCTGATGTTCTAACCACTTAGCCACACTGGCTAGGGCCAGCCACTTTTTTTTTTTAACCCTCACTCGAGGATATTTTTTCCATTGCTTTTCAGAGAGATTGGAAGGGGTGGGGAGAGAGAGAGAAAAAAAAAAACATTGATGTGAGAGAGACACATTGATTGGTTGCCTCTTGCTCTCACCTTGACTGGGGTGGAGTCTGCAACTGAGGTACATACCCTTGGCTGGAATCGAACCTGGGACCCTTCAGTCCATGAGCCGATGCTCTAACCACCGAGCCAAACCACCCAGTGCAACCAGTCTACTTTTTAAAAACCTCTCCATCTCTGGGGTCCCTGGAGCACACTTAGAGGTGCATGTTCGAGGAGAAATTAAACTTGATGTTTAGCCAGACATAATGGGGAACCATCTGGAGTGGGAGTAACAAAATGCATGTGCACGGCCTGGTTTACCTTTAACTAGTTTTGAGATGTGGGGCCAGTCCAGGCGTGATTTCACCTCCATGGGCTCAGTACATGCATCTCTGAATGGCAGTGGCTCCCCTCAACCTCTTGTGTTCCTCTAGTACACTCATTTTCTAAAGCCCTTGATGGCAGATCAGAGACATGAATGTCTTGAGAACCACAAGTGAAATGTTCACTCACCACTTGCGTGCTCACTCAAGGCTCTTTATCAGGAGTTGCAGGCAGAAAAGTTCATCCTTAAGCCTACTGTGGTCTGGAAGTGCTTGGAACAAGATTGTCTTTGTAACTACTTCCTTAACAAGGCTTCACAGCCCTTTACTCACCAAACAATAGCTGAACTGATAGCGACAGAACACTTGCATCCCTTGAAATGTGGGTGGCACGTGCTTCCTAAGCAGAGAATTTTCTCTATCCCTCCAAAGCCAGCACAGACAAGAGGCTTCACTGGTCACCAAGGCCAGCCTGAGAGTCCACTTAGGCTGAAGATCAGCACAGACCTAAGGGAGGTAAGGGCTGGTCAGGCTACTGTGGCCAAGAAAAGAGGGCAAGATAGACCAGGTCACAAAACCAGAGTTCATGTACCAGGGCTTAGGGTGGACACCCTTCAACAGACCATGTGGCCTGAATAATGTCTGTAGGCAGCAGGGAGCCAAGAGAACAGGCCTGGTCACAGAGTGGGAAGGAAACTGAGCCCAGCACCGGGAGCGGTGCAGGCACTCGGAGGGCCCAGGGAAGCCAAAATACGAATGACAAGGGCAGTAACCACAGCAGGAAGATATGGGGAGTACTGGGAACAGCAGGTTAATTAGACCTTTGACTAAGCAACTGAACCTGAACTACATACAAAGGGGAATCACATGTATCTGACTAGATGTATGTATACACATTTATTTATTTATTTTTTCCTTTTCAAAGAGTTTATCTTGAGATAAAAACACACGTTACTTGCTCCAGATTCAAACATTTGTCTTTACATTTCTAAATATGTTTTTTTTTTTATTTTAAAATTTTATTTTTGTTTAAAATATTACAGATGTCCCTTTTTTCTCCCCGATGACCCGTTCCACCCCGTCCCATCCCCCTCCCCAGTCCCTCTCCCCACCACTGACCCTGTCCTTGGGTTGTGCATATATGCATATAAATTCCTTGGTTACTCTCTCCCCCTCTACCCACCCGCTCTCCTCCCTCCCTCTTGTATACACATTTAAATGGATGCAGATATGTGAATAAAGAGGGCAGAAATGAGCAACAGGTGGTGATGACAGGCCCTGGAAACAGAACTCAGACACTGATTAAGACCTGGTACAGGGCTTGACACATACTAGGTGCTCAGTAAGTGCTGTAAATCCTGTTCTCCCACTGCTACCCAGAGAAGGGACCCCGCCCCGCTTCCTAGAGAAAGAATGGATAGACCTTGCCTCCTTACCTGAAACTAGGGGGAAATCTAATTGTTGAGTGAAGCTGTTCACTCGTACCCCGCTGTGCTCTGTATCCAGTCTTAAATCTCTTTGCATCTAAATTTCACCGGTAAGACCCTGCCAGGCAGACGCACTATACAATGCACATAAATTCTGAATCGGAATGCAGCCCCCTGCTGCCTCGTCCAGTCCCTCACGCGCGCCCAGCCCAGGCCGCGCGCAGTCGGGGCCCTGAAGGAAGACCTTGTCCCTATGGCTGGTACCCAGGGGGCCTCTCATTAAGGGCAGTGCGAGGCCAAGGCCACCGGAGTGAGTCCCTAGGCGCAGTCTTCCCGCCGGGGCCGATCTCACCCGCGCCGGCCCGCTGCCCCCGCGGAAATGCGGATTCCCAGGCCAGCCGCGTTCAGGAGGCGCCCCCGGGCCCCTGCCCCGCAGAGCGACAGCTCACCTGGGAAGCGGGGCGCCGGACCTCCCGTAGGCAGGGCGTCCTTGCCCGCCGCAGGATGACATCACGGAGCTGCTCCATAAAAGCCACCCGCGGGGAGCCGGGAGCGCAAAGAGCA